TTGCCCATTCCATGTAGATAACAAGTCTTTTAGAATAGTTATTTCCTGTAGAGATGATTATTTCCTATTAGGCGGATCGGAGATCGCTATGGACGGTGCCTCTGCATGACGACTTGATGGGTCGCATGCTGGCACGGCTGGTTGGCAATCATGGCTTGATGGGCCACAACGTTGTCAATCGGTTTGGACAAAGACAAGCAGTCTGATGTCCGCCAGAACCGATTTCCAATAATCGCCTCATTCAGCCATGGTTAGGATCACCATCGTCGTATCGATCTCGTGATTTTTTCATGCCACAATTTCGGCGTTCGGATGCGCACCAAAGGCTAATCACGTCGCAGCGTTAACTAAATTGTTTGCTAGCGAAGGCTAAACGGCAGACGTGCCATGCGTGCAACCATCCGTGCCACATTTATATACAGCTCTCAATATGAGATGCTTCGACATTTAGGGCTCAATTATTTGAAGTTGCCAGATATCACCAACGTTCGCCTTCTGGCAATTCTCTCCAGTGATTTCTGACTTCAAGTCCGACACTTTTCGACCTGAAACCAAACAACACATCAAAAACAACAAAAATCGTCCATACATCATCGCATCACAATGGCTGCTGTTATTCAATTTCGTAACTGGTGCGAAGTTGATCTCCTTATTTGACCCTTCCTCACGCAACACATGACCGATGTTGAAGGTCTTGACTCTGTTGACTCTTTCGCCAACAGGACCATTTGTCAAGTTCGTGAAGAGATCCCAACAATGCAAATGCGACTATCAGAGTCACCGCTCGCAAATCGATGACTATTCATCGTATCTCCAAATATGGAAAGCTCCTCATTTTGGTTCAAAGAACCCATACTCCAGCCCTTGGAACCATCCCAAATCTCCTTTTTACTGGTCAATTCTATGATGAAAACCCGGATCTCATGGAAGGGGACTCCTACCCACTTCCTCCTCATCCTCCAAAGTTCAACAATCGCGATGGTCAAATCATGATGGAAAACATTGAAAGTTGGGCTTGTACCGCCTATGGATATCGTTGAATTCGCCTTGATTATATTTTCCGTGAGAATTCTGAACTTCCAGTTGCTGGTGACCCTGGGTTCCTCCGAGCCGACGACGGCTCTCGCTCCATCAAAGAAGAACTTGTCCGACGTGCTGCCCACACTGGTGCTGTGTTCCGTTGCAACAACCAGAAATTTTGGGTTATGCTCCATGCCGTCACACATGAAACTGATGCCTACAATCACGTTCGTCAATTTGCTCCAACTTTGAATGGCCAAGCTGCTTACTTCGCTCTGTTTGCACAATATTGTGGAAGGGGACATTTCACCAATGAATGCCAAGCTGCTGTCTGTGTCATTGCAACACTTCACTGGAACGGTAAAGCTTGAGGCTTCACTTGGAATACTTTTATCAGTCGCCTTATTGGAGCCTTCAACGACCTCGAGTTGAACGGTGATCCACCCTCTGATGCAAATAAGGTTGATGTACTTCTCGAGAAAACTGTTGGACATTCCTCACTTTCCAATGGAAGATCACATATTACAGGAGATGCCGTTCTCCGATCCAATTTCCAAGGTGCCATCGATTATTTAACAACACAAGTCTTAGCTGCAGGTAACGACAACACCCAGCGCCGCAATCGACAACTTGCTGCTTTCACACGTGGTGGTGGCGGACGCGGTGGTGATGGGAGAAATGGAGGTCGTGGCCGAGGAAATGGTGCCACAAACCGCCTGCAATCAAATGTTCCAGATCGTTTAGCCGCAATGGTATACTACTAAATGATGGAGGTTATTCAAATCAAATCTGGAGAGAGGAGTTTACACAAGAAGAAAGAAATATCTGTTTAGAAATGCGTCGCAACCGTCGCAATGGTGGTGGTCGTGGCGGAAGAGGCCGTGAAGGCCGTAGTGGTCGTGGTCGTGGTATCAGCGCTGTCCATGATGGACGAGCTGATCAAGAAGAAACAAAAGAAGATAACAATGATGGGCGTGGGGCAGGTGCAGGAATGAGTTGTCGCCGTCGCAACAATCATGAAGACGATTGACTAGGAACCTCATCTGTTGGATCCCTCACAAGCATTTGCCCAAATTCTCGTATGGTATCAGTGCTATCATCTACAAACACTCTTACCAACCGATGTGAACTGGACTCGCATGCAGATACATGTGCTTTTGACCCTGCTGGATGTTGCGTCCTTTCAACGTCCTCTCAGTCAATAAATGTCACCGGTTTTCACAATGGTTTGAAAATAAACGATGTTCAAATTGGGAATGTCTGTCTTGCCTTTGACTGTCCATTTGATCATCGAACCTACTGTCTGCATTTCTGTGAAGTGCTTCTGATCCCTGGTCTAGGATCGCATCTACTCTGTGTTGATCAACTGCGTGCCAACAACGTAGTGGTAAATGACGTGCCGTTAATTCGATTGCGGCCTGAACAACGAAACAGAGAAGCTCATGCTATTTTGACATCGGGTCTAAGGATCCCATTACTATTCCACAAACCAATTTCCTACTTTACATGTCGCCAACCTACAGATGAAGAGATCAGCGATATCATGGAGTTTCAACCTATCTGGATGACTGCAGACATTCCTTGGCAGCCTTATGACCCTGACTCTCGGCGCCAAGAAAAAGCTCTGCGACAACAGATTGATGCTGACTATCAAGCACGGTATCACCAACTCGCATCTTTCACTCGACTTGATTCAACGCTCCCAACTGCTGCTTGCCTTGATCGTTTACCGCAAGTTCTAGGGGACAGCAACAATGTCGTATGTGGTGTACACAGTTTGACAATTCGATCGATGAAAACTTCCGGAAAATCCTATCTCATCAAGCCGGATCAACTTGCTCGTCAATGGAGAACCAGTATGAAATGTGCTCGTCGCACCCTGGAGAAGACAACTCAACGTGCCGTTCGTGATTGGCCAGTCGTTCAAGGGTCTTGTCGTTTTCGCCCTGTACAATATCAGTTGGAGTATCCAAGATTGAAAACAAATGTCTATGTTGATGTTAAGTTTGGACCCTGCAAGTCAGCTGAAGGAAACACTTGCGTCGCGGTCTATGCTACACCAGTACAGTGGGCTCGTGCTTATCCGTTGAACAAAGAATCAGATGTTCACACAAGCCTCACACAACTATTTCGTCAGTTCGGTTTTCCCCAATGTCTCATACCTGACGATGCCAAGTCACTCACTCAAGGGAAATTCCGAGAAGTTGCTAACAAAGGACAAGTGCCAATTCATCCTATTGAGCCTCATCATCCTAATCAAGCACTGACAGAAGACACAATTTGGGAAGGAAGTCGACTTTACCGTCGATTCATGCATGCAAGGAATATCCCTATTGCGTTCTGGGATCGAGTTTTTATGTATGCTTTTGAGATTCGCAGTCACATGGCACTGGGACTTGCAATACAAGAAGGAGAATGTGGAGCCACAATTGTTTCTGGCAACACTAAAGATATCTCTCACCTGGTTGATTTTGCTATTTGGGATTGGTGTTGGTGCCTTTCACCTAATCGCTCATCTAAGGATGGGAAACAACTATGTCGTTGGCTTGGTCCAAGTTTTACTATTGGAGCAGCTCTTTGTTTTGCTGTTGCTATTGCCAATGGACAAGTACTACAACGATTGTCAGTGATTCCTTTGTCAGCCAAAGAGCGAAACAGTGAACCAATGGAAGAGAAAAAGAAAGAGTTTATGGAAGACCTGAAGAAGAATCTGAAGAAGAAGGCTGAAGGAGTTTCTATCTCTGAAGAAGAACTTGATCGCATTTGGCATAAATACAACATGCCGATCTCTGCAATCAAAGACGGTGGTTTCCCGCAGTATGCAAAATATGAAGATCACCCACAAGAAGATCCTCGTCACAGGATTGAAGATGATTTTGAAGAGCCGCCAGATCAAGAATCAGATCCTGTTGAGTTTGACAAATATGTCTCTGCAAAAGTATCGTTTAATGCAGATGGAGTTGAGACTTTTGGAGTTGTTCAAGGTCGGAAGCGTGACTCATCTGGAAAATTGATTGGTCACTACCACGAGAATCCACACCATGACACATCGATCTATCAAGTGGAGTTCGAGGATGGAAAAGTGGAAAGCTTCTATGCAAATCAGATTATCGAAGGGATAATGATGAATGTCGATGATGAAGGTAACACGATGTACCGGATTCGCGAATTTATTGATCATCAACGTGATGGACGAGCAGTTAGAGGGGACGATGGATGGTATACTACCTCTAGCGGTCTCAAGCGTCCACGAAAGACAACTAAAGGATGGAAAT